CTCTGGCTCGCATTCGAGCCATCCCTGAATGAATCCCGCATTCGGGCGAACTTCTTCGCCCTCCAACAAGGCACGATGTCCATGCGTGTTTGCATGAAGCACAAAAGAATTAGGAGCTGGGTTGCCTTTAAGGGGGCACATACCTCCATTTCAGCTAGTAGAAAGTCTCGCACTAGCTGACCCATACCATGTTTTGGCTGGTCGGTAGATACAGGCTCGGCAGGGTAAGCACTGGTGATGGCGCGCGGCACTCTGCCGCAGGATGACAGGGCCTTACGGCAACGGAAGCAGGTTAGAGAACGATCGCTTCGACTTCTATTCTGACGTGACCCATGACGTTAGTAGCTGCTTGACGCATCGACGGCAAATACATCCTTTAGTTCGAGTGCAGATTTCCGAGCTTCAGCGGACAGTACACATGCATAGGACGTTGCCACCACGTAGTCCTTGCGCAGTGCTAGGGTGAACGCCTCCTCGAGTGTAGAGGGCTCGGCTCGCGTAAGGCGATAGCACGTCATGCTTTCGCGCATGACGAGCACGAGCAAATGTACCTGGGAGGCCATACCAATGGAAGGTGAGCCGTCTCACCGTGCGCGCGGAGATTTTTTAGTGACTGAAAATCAAATTGGAGCCGACGCTGGGATCGACCCAGTCACCATCGGTGCGTGAATTCGCCGATGTTTTACTGAACCACTTGGTGAGTGAGTGAATGAGTGAATGACTAAGTAAGTGAGCGAAAGATTGGGTGAGTGACGACGACGCATGAGCAAGTCGCGAGCTTTCAGCAATTCAAGCATGTCTCTGATATTCCTGTCGCTCGCAGTGTTACAAGTGTTGTCCAAGCCCGCAGGATGCCCGTCTCCCGACTTCGCATTTACTCATCGCAATTCATCACCCATTCTCCTGTGTGAAGCTTCAAGTGATGCTGGCGCTCAAAGTCCCAAGCAACTGGCATATCGTCATTTCGTTTCTCGTGAATCCACCGCCATGAGTGCTTGGTTGTCGTGGATGTTCCACGTCGTTGGCCGTGACGAAGTCAATCTTCGGGGCGTGTTTTTTGACGGTGAGGTCACCGGTGCGAAGCGGTCACGCCGTATACAAGTTGCTGATGAACGTGCAGCATTTGTGTACGTTGATAATGCATTGAAAAATGCATTTCCTGCGTAATGTTCTGGTAGTGGAGGATTAATGCGACGTCGACCATTTACGCAAGTTAT